AACCATGCATATTGTTCGACAAGGTTTAGTTTGTAAACACCAATTCTTTAATGTACTGATTCTTCTTCGTTTTTTCGTGTTATTCATAGCAAATGGCGTCAAAAGATGCCAAATCGGTTATCAATAAGCTGGATTATTTTTAAGAAATATAGGATTGCCATAGAAACAATAAAAATGAGTCGAATTTCCCTTGATTTTAGACTCTCCAAAACAAACAGGTCAAGGGGGTCGAAAGAAACCATGATTATCCCAACGGGTCTCAATGCTGTGTTGTCAAATACAAACAGGAAGATGAAACTACTTCAACTTAAAATATTTCGAGTTAATAGCAAGGTCGCGGATATCAATATCAAAATTTAAAGAATTAAGAATCAGATGTAGGCACCTGAGAAAGTTTATTTCGCTGCTTAAGCTGACGGTTTTGTAGTGTAATTTAAGAAACTCTTAGATGAAAAAGGGCAGAACAGCTTTACGGGCCGTTAAGTTAAGGGTAGTTTCATGAAACCGGTTCCTAATGTTGTAATTATTGAAAAACGTAAACAGGTGATTCAACCGAGTGAAAGACTACAATAAGCTTGTAATGTTTTGGCATGGGCATATTTTTTCCGTTTTTAGTTGTCATGAGATGAGGAATGCGGCAATTGAACAGTTCAAATGAATATGGATCTGGATCAAAGACTACAAAAGGAGAGGGTGGAGGGGCGGGTTTTAAAGCAAAAAAAATTGGTTTTTCTTCGATTACCCAAATGGAAATTTTTTCCTAAAAAATCGGAGTGGTTGATTATTATTATTATTATTATTTATTTATTTATTTAATTTTTTTGGAAATTTCGATGCTGTAGGTCTGTCCTGGCCTAATGTTGCGAAAGAAATTATCTCTCGCAAGTTTATTAAGCTTTTTTTATCTAAATATTTGTTTGTTGGCATTATTATCATTTAGTTTCACCAGCCCTGCCATCCTCCTTTTAGATTTTCAAACACTCTACCCGGTCAAATCAAACATTTCTTCCATGAAACACCCGCCATCTTCTTCGCAGGTATCACAGATCTGATGTGCTTCATATGGCTGCTCGACAGGCTTCATTTTTTACCAAGCTGTTTTTCATTTCCCAAATGTTCCTTAACATTGCCACTCAGCAGTGTGGAACTGGCGGCGACCTATACTCGATTTATCAAATGATGCTTAAGGGCCACACCTATAAGACGTTCAAGACTACACCAGGCACCCTGGAATGCAGAGAGACTTGTCTCGCTGATGATAGATGTCAAAGCTTTAATTTCGTCATTTTCATTGCAATATGTGAGTTAAACAACCAGACTAAAGAAGCAAGACCAGAGGACTTTGTCAAGGACGAGAACAGATATTATATGGCAAAAGGTCTAAAACGAGGTAATAGAACTTGCAAATATAGAATAGTAGGGTTTAGTTATGTTTATGGATTTTGCGTTACGAGCCAATGATTTTTCTAACTTTTATCCAGCTAAAGTAAAATTTCAATGTCAGTTCCCCTGGGATCAATCTTTAAGCTGCCTGCTGAATCATGGGAGGAAATCGAGGCGAGTGAAGGAAAGACTAATCTACTGGATTCTACAAGATCTGAGAACTCTATTTTAGCTCGTAGCGACGTAAAGACAAAAGGCTAGCACAAGAAATATTCCATGGATATTTGCCTTCGTGCTAATGAGAGGCCTTTCCTTAATCAGCCTTCTTTCTAACTAGTTGCGGACTATTAAATCAACCATTCATGCGCGTGTAGCTCATCTATTTGGACAGTGAAATATTGTGAAAAAGGTTTTCTTTCGTTGAAGTAGTTTCTGACCTCTGAGGGGATCGGCCATGATCTCCTTGTCATCACAAAGATCATCGCTAATTAAGAAGTTTGGTTTTCAAGCGGTCAAAAAAAATCGTGGAAGCGTATATATCACACAACGTTTTCGAGCTCACAAAGCTCAACCTTGAGTTTGAAAATTGCCTTAATCCAGCAAATGCTAGTGGCTTCGTCATTTTAAATCGTTACGAACTGAAATTTCCACACAATGCAAATGCTGGTAATGAATTTTTGTCCATTGTGTTTGGTGTGTAAATGAATAGAAAGGACGTTAAAGCGACGGGAAAGTCATACTTTTTGTTTAAAAACTGAGTTTCTAACGCATGGTATTTTTGGAAATTAATCAAGTCACGGTATTTTTTTCTTGTAACTCGAACTTTAGGTCAAAGAGCTACTTGGCTATGGTTTTTACAAGGGGAGAGTATACTTTTGCCGTAATGCAAAATGTCGTACAATCGGATTTTTGGCATCAATCGCCTCCTAATGGATCACCCATGATTTCCTTGTGTCACGAGGATCATCATTAATTTGGAAGATTGATTTTCGACCGTTTCTCTCTCAAACTAAGACTTTATTTGTAAAAAAATGCCAAAATAAACCAACTACAAATAGTTTCGTCAGAACTGAAATTTTCACGAATGTTATGTAAACTCTTTTCTATGATAAAGGATATCTCCGCAAACATACAATTGGCCACAGATAATTCCAATCGCAAATTTTTGAGATATCGATACATCGGTGTCTTATATTTGTGAATTTATGAAATGGATGGACGTACAATTCAGCAAGAGTTGATTATTGTGCTTGCTTGATAAATGAATCAAAAGGATGGCAAGACGAAGGGGTGAACACCCTTCACCCTTTTGCCTCACAACGTGAAGTTTGTAAGCCATGTTTCTCAACCATTGCAGTTTGATCCGCGTTTAAAGTTCACACTATTCAAATCATATTGTTCTACATTGGAAAGCAAAGAGTTATTGTAGGTAAATATAAGCCTTACTGTTTGATTAATCTTAATTTTACCCAGAATGTGGGCCTGTTGGTGTAGCAGGCAAAAATGCAATCTCAGATGCCAGAATGACAGCAAGCACTGTCCATGATGAAAGATTTTATCCGTACTATGGCCGACTCCATGAAAACAGGGGATATGGAGGATGGTGTCCAAAGACTGAAACTGACAGAACAGACTATCTTCAAGTTGATATGGGTACAATGCTGTCTGTTTGTGCTGTGGCCACTCAAGGAGAAAAGATAAACGATGAATGGACTACCAGCTACAAACTGCAACTATCCACAGACGGTGTAACCTGGAACGCTTACGAGGAAGCCAGCACTGCAAAGGTTTGATCGGCAACTATTAGTAATGATTAGAGGACCACAAAAAGTCGAATTTAGTGAGTTACAAAATCAACTTACAAAATTACACCACTGTAAGCAAGGGTGTGATTTGTTGCAATTCACGAGTATGATTACTGACCGAACGGTGGGACAAAAGTCTTTTGACCAATCTACCAAAACCA